TTTCTGCATATTTTTTATACAATGCAGTTTCACTTAAACTTGATTCGTTCATGTTGCATGTCAGAAAGTGCATTAAATCTTCATTTTTCAACTGCTTTTCCAAAGAATTAGCTTACATTTGAATGCTTTAACTTGGTCACACATGTTCATAATGATCTGATTTCACAGTTTTAAATTTAAATCATATAAGTGTTTTGTTATAGCAACCATGAAGAATAGATATTGCAACCATACTTTGCCAAAAAACAGGCTTATGTCTTGATTTTTAGTTATTAAGAACCTTGGAGTATACCTTGGTATAGTAGGAAAAACAGGAATATTCATTGTCTAATTCACTTAAGAAAACAGAGAACTGTCACTGAATTAAGCTTCAAATTTTATGAAATTGATGAATTTTGATAGATGTCAACACATTTTCCCTGTTTATTACCTTCATCCATAATACTTCTTGATGTATAATGTGATGCATGTGATGAATCTTAGATTCATCATAAATTTCACTTATTTTTACTTTCCTGGTTGTTATACAGAGGGAAAGTATGGTGATCCAGCAAAAAATGACTCCCCAGACTTTTACTTTTTTGACTTAGGACAACTTGAAACATTGAGAAATTAAAAAATTCAGGAGTGATTTCTATATGTATGGATGTTTTTGTGTATGTGTTTGTTTGTGGGGCACAATTTTGTTTACCCTTTTTGAAGCTTAATAACGCCTATGCTTTTTGTTGAAAATTTCTGAAATTTTGCAGAGAGGTTTGTTTATTAGGGGGATTAATGCTATTAAATTTTGGTGATTAAAGGTCGAGGGAATGGGGAGATATTGGGGGTCCTGTGTATATCACCAGTTGGGTCAGACTTTGTGACAATTTTACTGGTTATTGGCATTTACAATTGTAAATGCCAATAACCAGTCACAAATTGTCAATTGTCACAAAGTCTGTCCCAATATTATGAAGTCTTTCAATATCTTTCAATATTATGAAGTCTTTCAATATCTTTCAATATTATGAAAATTCTTTCAATATTATGAGAATTAACGTTGAAATAATTACAGCTATTGTAATTTCATTCAGATAATCTGCAGTGCATACATCCCAAAATAATTGTTAGAACAAAACTAAAATCTTCACATAAGTCACACACTGCATATTCCATGCCTCTGCAGCAGTCATTAAAATCATGTCACTTACTGGCATAAAATTTAGAAAGTGTCTTCTGAAACATTAAAACATTGTAATTATTCTTAATTATTGTAAAATTCCACTTATATTAGAGGTTACCCTTAAGAGACTTAAGACCAATATTTTACACTATCCTTTACAATATACATCATTTAACTTCAACATCTAAAATTCATTTCGGCACATTTTACTGTGTCCTCTTCAGTTAGATTTCTAATCTACCTCTATCAAAATTAACTTCTGTAGCTACAAATGGAGCTCGTCTAATGACTGGAAAAAACAATGGTTTCATGGCATTACTGACTGCAAAAAAAATCCAGCAAGTTGCTCAACTTTCCCAGCAACATTTGGTAGCACATCTGTTATCATATTTTACTAAAAAACTATTTACATTTTTAACTATTATAAAATAGCAAAAACCTTAATTTTCAAGTAAAGATGACTTTTATAAAAAGAAAAAAAAATGTAAATGCTAATAACGAGTAAAATCGTCATTAAGTCCGACCCTACTGGAGATGCACACGACTCCCCCCTCTCCACCCCCTCTACCTTTAACTAACAAAATTTAACCGTATCAATTTCCCTAATAAATAAACCTACCTGCAAAATTTCAGAAATTTTCGACAAAAAGTACAGGAATTATTAAGCTTTAAACATGGTGAAAAAAATCGTATCTACTCCCACACACTAATATCCATGTTTACAGAAATTACCCTGAAAGTTTTTTTTTTTTTTTTTGTATTTCTCGGCGTTTTAAGGTGTCCTAAGTCCAAAAATGTAAAAACCTGGGGATCATATTTTGCAGGATAATTATACTTTCCCATAATAGCAAAGAAAGTAAATACAAAAAATTATTAGAAAGTAAACCTTTCTACAATTAATTCGCTTATATAGAAGGTTAAAGGTAATCTGTAAAGAAGATTAAAATTACACTTTGAAAGTTGGAAACGTTATAATATTTTTTCTCAAATTTCTAATTATTTTTTAAAAAGTTATAAAGTGAAGAATTAAAATATCGTTTACAATTAAAATCGAAACAAATTTATCCTGTGCAATGTACCAAATTTCTCGTTCGTATAAATTATTATTGCTCTAAAAACAGGATTATTGTTGATGCAGCTGTCATCGAATTAAACTACTTAATAAAATAAATAGCAAACCTGTTTAGGTCTGTTTAAGTGTAATAGCTTTTTATATAAAATAGTAATTATATTTATAATCATAGAACAATACTGATATATGAAATTTTGGGAATATATAATAAACACAATGATGACAATAATGAAGATAAAATAAAGTTCTTATATCTTATTAATTTATATAATTTACGAGTATTTACGTTATTTTTACATTGCATATAAATTATCGTAAAAATTGAATATATTAATGCAAATTTTAATAAAAACTCTTTGAAATTTTGCTCTAGAAACACCATTTTTCTATTTAACTATTGGGTAATTGGTAAACATTGATAAATATTCAAGTCACAACTTAATTTAAATGCAGTTAATGTAAATAATTAGAGTAGAAAACAATTTAAAAAATGTATAATTTTTACATATAAATATTACAGAAAAGGAAATTAAAATTATATCTATTATAAAAAGTATAGGCACATGCAAATTAAATAATTTTCACGTGCAATAATTTAAGCTAAATAATTAAAATTACTTTTAAGCAAGTAACTGAAACAAAGGAATATTTTTTATTATTAGTGAGTACCTTAAACTTCTAGTAATATTAATAATAAAAAAAACAATGTAATAAGTGATTTAGTGCCGAAATTTTAAGTTTACATCCTTGTTTTTTTTTCTATTGGAATATTATAAAAATATTTTTAAATTAGTTACAATTGACTCACCTAAAATTTCGAATTAAATATTATTTTTAGCATGTTTATATTCCTATTATTGTTTTATCGCACTGGTAAGTTATTATTAATAATTCTTTATAACTCGACAAAACAATAATAAGATAGAATTCTTAATATTAAGAATTCTAACAAAGTATGTCATCCAGTTAGAAACTAAATACAATTTATTGGCCAATTTATGTTATCTTATATGCCAATTTCCAAGGTGTCATTTAACTAAATTATAAATTTAAATAAATAAATAGTCGATAAAAACTATTTAAAAAGGAAGAGATTAGATAATATCTGTATTAAAATTTTAAGGAAATCTAACTGTATTGTTTGTCTACTCTTTAAAAATATATAAATTTTGGTGTTTCACAAAGTTACATTCAAATTATTTTGTTTAATTTTGATTATTTTTAAACGGTTTTAAAATGATTACATTTCTTTTTTATTTGAACTGTTACAGTTTTACTTTTTAAGACAAACAAACAGTCAATGTCAAAAAATTTACTCTCTTAATTGAAATGTAATTATTATTTATATGGGTAATATCTTTTAACGTTAAAAATAATGTATAAATATATTTCAATATAGTCCTAGGTAATAAATTGTGCGCAGATATCGTACGCAATCACGTGGTTCCAGTTTCATTAGATTTTTGTTGGAACTTGTATTGCTGCAGGCTTCCATTCCATGAACAGTAGCTTCATTTGGTGTTTCTTAGTATTTCAATGTGCTAATTTTTCACAACTTATTTGCTTTTAAAAGTGTTAATAACAAAATACAGTAAAGGTAAATTATAATTAGATATAAAATTCGTTAAAAATATCTATAGATTTCTATTTAGCATTTAATTATGTTAATATAATTAACAAAAATATTTTATTTAAGACTTAATATGATGAAATGTTACAATTTTAAATATAATTTTTAAACAAAACTGTTAAAGCAATGACAAATATTTTGGTGAAAATGATTTTAAAAATCATTTGTTTTAAATAAATAACTCATAAAATTTATTATGTTATATTATTCAAAATGTTAGCTGTACTTATGTTTTTTTTTTATTATTAACAAATGCCTTTTTTATATATTCTACTGATAAGGAATAAACTTTACGTAACCTTTTTAAATATATTTCGATTCAAATATTTAAATATTTTATTTCTTATAATTTTAAATACTGTTAAACATAAATATTATTATTTTGCCGAATTTCTTCAGAATATATTTAACAGGTAATTTGGGATTAATATAGACAACAATTTCAAAAGAATTCTTATGCAGACTAATTATTTTTGCATAAGAATTCTCTTGAAAATGTATTTTTAACGCTAATAATATAGAATGGAAGGAATTGAAGACAATTGTTTTTCTATTCAGAAAAACAGATGAAGTGAAACTAAAACTAACGTGTTTATATATATTTTATACGTGCAAGTTTTACTAAAATCTTTTTAAATTATCTGCGTGCGTAAATCCTGAAGGGTTCAAGGAAAAGAATTTTTAACCTTGACTTGAAGTTTGGAAGCAACTTGACATAAACCACAAATTGGTTTTAACATTTTATCATAAAACAAAAATTAATTAAAATAGGAACATTTATTTTACTTTAATATTTTCCATATTTACAATATTTTATCGCTTATAAAACATTATATATTTTATTTAATTTATATAAGTTTATACATATTACCGCATTTATCAATTCATTTATATACATATCTGTTTGTTAAAAACAAAGTGTATTTTTATTAATAATTTAGATCATATTGATTTAATATTTTCATTTCATTTAAAATATTAATAATGAAAGATAATACTCGATTAATACATCGATTTTGTTAAATGGATCAATAAATGCATGTATTGTTTTTTTCCGTACGGAAATCGTATGGAAAATACTAAAAATGATATTAAGCTCTTTTATTATTAGGTTCTTAGAAACATCTTTACTGTTATATAAAGCCATTGCAAATTCTAAGAATTTACGTTCAAAAGTCAGTAATCTTCGTGACTATTTGATTGCAAAACTAGTGACCGACTTTGAAGTTATTTTTTTTCCTTGTTTTTATTATAGCTGAATTGTCTATCGTTGAGAAGTAAACTGTAACCCTGGTTAAAAAATGTAATCTGTAGACATTTCTAAGAACTATTTCGTGATTTTCCCATTATATTTACAAATAAAATGGCAAAACAAGACAATAATAGTAAATTTATTTTTTATTTCCGAAAGAATTTTTAAAAAATTTACATTATTTCATCATAGACATAACTTTAAATTTGACAATTACGATTTTAATATTAAATGCTTTTTAATAGTAATTATAATATACAAATGTTTTTATATTTAGAAATAAAGTAGGCATGTCAATGAATAAAACTCCTATACGTTTGAGTAATGTCGTCACAGGACAAATATCAACAGATATTCTTTATCAACAGAGTAGTGAAGTATGTATTAACTATATTTTATAAATTTTATATTAATATTACAATCTATTTATTTTCTATAGAAAGTAGGTTGTAAAGAAAATGTTTGTAAAGGATCTTTTATGAGAACGGCTAGCACGTCAAAAGTTAGAACTAAAGAGGAAATAGCCGAACACGCTAAACAGTTTCTCGAGGTTTATTTTTCCAGTACCAAAAGGTATATAGGCATTTTATTTTTTTCAACTAGTTATTGTATAGTCTACTCAATGGCGGATTACCTAATAAGCGCCCTAGGAGCTCGCCTAAGGTCTCATCGTATCGAGCAGCCTCAAAAATTACATTGTAAAAGATAATATGCCTCTAAGTATTTAACGAACGTTTAAAAAGTATATATTTCGCACCCCGGCAAGAACAGTGACATAGTTCATAAGTTAAATGGTCTTTTTAACATTAAAAAATAAAAGGATTCACGTAAAGGACCTTATATAAAACGGCGCCTAGGGCTTTAAAAAAACCATAATCCGTTACTGTATATATTTGTATTATTTTAATATAATTAAATGCTGTAGGTGTAATAGTGAAGTTCATCAGAAAAGATTGAAAGAAGTGTTAGAAGAAATATCTCAAACTGGAACATATGAATTGAAAGAGACCGAGTTAATATATGGTGCTAAATTAGCTTGGAGAAATGCCCCGAGATGTATCGGAAGGATTCAATGGTCAAAATTACAAGTAAATTTACATTTATTCTTAATTGAAATATTTTGTATTAATGAATTTTATGAATCGATGAAATTCGTATAAAATTATTCAAGTATTTAATAAAGTTATTTTTAGTTATTTGATGCTCGTTATGCAATGTCTGCAGAAGATATGTTCGCAGCAGTTTGCAATCATCTTAAATATTCCACTAACAAGGGGAACATTAGGTATGTATTTTATTCATCATAACCAAACTCTGTATTCGTTTCATTAAAATAAAATATTTATCCTACTTTTTAATGATAAGATAAATATTTTAATTGGTAATTTATGAAAAAATTTTGACTAATTAATTTAAATTTAAAATAAATTTTAACTTTTACATGGTAACTATTACGGTTTATTAAACAAATTTCTGTTATATTTCCTAAGTTGTGTAAAGTTTATTTTACATAATATAGGTTCAAATCAAAGAATAAAAATTAAAAGTTTTTTTAATTAATAAAATAAATAGTTCATATTCACACATTCATTATTGAATACTTTTTATATAGATCAACAATCACAGTGTTTCCTCCAAGAAAAGAAGGAAAAGCAGATTTCCGCATATGGAATAATCAGATTTTGTCATACGCAGGTTATGTTCAATCGGATGGAAGTGTTATTGGTGATCCGGCTAACATCGAAATTACAAAGGTTTCTAATTTGTTAAATAATATAAAACTGTAAAATGCTCCTTCAACTACTAAGCGTTCGATGCAATTTACTTTCTCGTTTATTATTTTTTATTCTAGTTAAAATCTCGATGGATATTATTGAATCAAATTCAAAAATGTTTCAGTCAAATTAATTACATAATATTTGTTAATTACAAAAACATTTTCTCAAGTAGACAGTCACATGTTGACTCTTACCAGGGAAACACGGAAACGAATCCGGTCGGGTCAAAAATCCAGGAATTTTTCGAAGGTCCGTCCCTTATCACCCGGCATCTCCATTGTGCGTTTCGTCAAGTACAAAGTATAAAATAAATATTAAAAAAAAAGCCAATATTATTGCAAATCCAATTAACTTATAAAATGTTTACTTATTTGCATATAACTTAATAACAACTAAAATGACTTTTTATTAATTTTTATTTTATCGTATATAATTTTCATTTGTTTAAAAATCATTGTTAAAGAATAAGTAGGAATTTTGAGATAAAATTTTGGATTATCATCTAACCTAAATTTGTTTGCTTTGAAACGTGTAAATTTGCATGTAAATTAGTAACTTTTAATAATAAAAAAATTATTATCAATGTTGCTAACGGTTAAAATATTAGAATTTTAACGCATGCTAAGATACAAAGATTCTCCATTCTCCATTTCTATATGGTCCCAGAGATGAGAATCTTCCAAAGAATTGTGGCCATTTTTGGACTTAGAACTCTACTCGTACACTTGAGTGCTACTTGTGCAGTTGTTTCTTACTGTACCTGCATACCCCTAATAAATGTCCGTAAGTTTTACATTGTGTCTTGCCAAAAATCGGATAACCAACGCTGTTTTTTCTTTGTGTTGGAGAAGTGCCGCCATTTCCTTGGTCTGTTGTTTTAGGTCCTTGCTCGTCAATAAGATTACCGGCGGCAGTTACTATTAATTTCCTTGTATCAAAATTACTATATCGCTTGCTTTCCCAAATTGACTCGCTTTGTACAACTCTTTTGTTATTAGACAAGAATTATAGTGTTTTTCATTAGTTCTTATTAAATTACGATTATTCTTCAAATTTCTTAATCAAATTAAAAATTTATTTTTTTAGATTTGTGAAGATTTGGGCTGGAAAGGAGAAGGTGGGAAATGGGATGTTCTGCCTCTTTTAGTTTCAGCTAATGGTGAAGATCCTGTTTATTTTAAAATACCCGAAGAATTAATATTAAGAGTGCCCATTACACATCCTAAGTAAGTCGATTAATCGGAAATATTTAAATTATTTATTAATCTGCATTCGTGTAATGTTTGGTTAAAAGATAGAGATCGAATTAAAAATCCAAGAACATGTTATTATATACAAGAAATCTATAGAAATCTTAAAATTATATATTTTCGTAATTTTTAAAATTTATTTCCGATTTATTTCCGAAAATGCTTTCTTTCGAAATTATAGCAATTTTAAAATTAGCTGTAATCAAATTAATAGCAAACTATGATTTTGACATGTTTCTAAATGTTCTTTAATACGGTGAATCGTTACTGTAATTCAGAGATGGCGGAGGTTCATTTTATGTATGGCCGAACTAACGGCAATATACAATGTAGCACAACAACTGTACAGAGAACTTTTCTAACTACTGTAACTTAGGTCTGAAAATGTTTTCTTTCCATGTTTATATGAAATTTTTTCATTTTTATGATCCTTATAACACAGTGTTAAAAGTTGACGAGACCTTTCAAAACATCGTGTATTTACAGTATTCATCCGAGTCGATCTGTAATATTGAAAAGATGGGGTAATGAATAATATAAAAATTTCTCATTTTCGGGTTTTGAGTCGATATAAATAATAAGGTGTATTTAAGGGTTGTGTACAGTGCTTGTTTCTACTTTNCGCTACAGTTCGCCTTTATTATCAGTTCGAAATGGGGTGGTTCCATAATACCCGCAGTGTTCCATAATACCACTTTTTCCTGTATTATTTGGAATGTTCTATTCACGTTTAAGACTCTCATTTTTTCAATTTTATTCACATTTTCCATTTTTATAAAATTAATTTACGGAAAAGTAAAATCGCCCTTAATGTTTTAAAATGTTACGGTTTTATCCAATTTTTTTTAATAAGTAACTTTGTAAAACTCAATAATTGTTACTTTAATTAAAACGAGATGGCGCTGCAATGATTGCAACGTTACTTTAATTAAAACGAGATGGCGCTGCACGCTCGCGATGTATCTCTACGAAGCATTGGCATGATCAATCTTTTATGCATGCAGGTTACGTTATGATTTATAAAATTAATTGTGTCCAAAAACTAAACATAAGAATTCTCTTACACTCGCATTCGTTCTTAGATTTATAATTTCACTAGAGAGAATATAGGTTTTAAACATAATCTGATGCATACGACGATTTCATACGCACCAAATTATATTTTTATTGTAAAATAAGTGTAACAAAAATCAAAGCCATTCGAAAACGTAATATTTTGCAATAATTCAAATTTACATGAAAACTCACGTTTGCATGAACTACACGCTTCCTATATAAATGTGATTTATATATGGAAAAAAAAAACAGAAAAAAGGTTATTGAAAGACTGATAATTATTATATATTTTACTCAATATTAATTCTAATGTATTCTATAGAATTAAATCAAATTTTTTGTTTAAAATTTAAATATGAAAAATGATTATCAAAGGGGCTAATGTATTATCCTTACTTGATAAATGCTATAAAGATCATTATCTGCTTGGATAGACAAGTAATTTCATTTTATAGTTAGTAATCATTAGCTCCCATAACAATATAAGAATTCCGTATAGCTATCGTCAAATGATACGTTTGATAATGCTAACATATAATAACATGTTTGCATATATAATATGTCCGCTGCAAGCTAACAGCGAATAATAGCAATAAAATAAAACTGCTTCTTAATTTGTACGAAAATTTTCCGAGAATTTAATGATCTGCATGGCAAATATCCAACAGGAAATTCTCCATATTATCAAAGTTCGTTTTGATCGTCTCTTCGACAATCGAAACAAACCATGATATAACTAAACAAATCTGTAATGATAATAAATCGACTAACGTTTCCGATTTATTTTGTCGTATTAATTAACGTTAGAATTAAATTATATGTTAATTAATTATTAAAAGTTTTGACTAAATATCCTGGTTTTGGAATATTAAAATTCTATCGTTTTTCTCATCTCGAACGATAATTTATCACCTCCCACAAACTCTTCTTCTTCACACTGATTATATATAATTGTGTTAAAATAATACAAAAAAAAATATATTAAAATATCCAGCTTACAACTATTTTTGTTTCTATAATAGTATTTTTTGACATTTTAAAAATTAAAAAAATTAGTTTTAGCGTTTTAAAATTCTTCTTGTTTTTTTATGCACTTAACGTGAGAAAAACAATAGAAATAAAAACAATAGATCTTAGTAGAAAAACAGTTTAAAAAACATATAATTTTACGATTTTTATATCTAAATGTAGCAAACGGACGAAAAGGCAATGGAAATGCCTTTTCATTGCCTCTTCATTAGCGATCGAATTCTAAAATACTTTTTATGTATGTTGCTGCAAACAATATTGAGGATCTGTTGTAGGCTGTAGGCTAAACTAAAGCTGTTTTATTATCTTTAAGTTAAAAAGTATAAAACTATAAATATACTATATACTCGTTAATTTAAAATGTAGGCCTATAATATACAACTTAAGATTTTAAGCTCAATATACAACTTAAGATTAGTTTAATATACAACTTAAGATTAGTTTGCTATGTGTATAAAAAATCTTATACAAATTCAAAGGCATTTTTATTATATTTTCTTAAAAATGAGATTTTTACGTATACTACAGTTTGCTAGAATTGACTCATTCGAATTCATATGACTATATTAGACGTAACTGTAATATATTTTATAATAATGTTTGGGCAAAATATATAGGTATTTTATGCCTACATATCCTAATAATACTTTAGTATTCTTATTTTATCTGTTCTTCAAAATAGAAAAAAAATGCAAGAAAATTATTTTAACATTTCAAATATCGCAAATTTTCTTTTCTGCTTTATAAAAATAAACCAGCAACGAGTTGCTCGACTTTCCCGACAACATTTAAAATTTTGGTAGCGTCATCTGTTGTCATCTGTTATCATATTTTATTTTAAACACTTTTTATATTTTTAACTATTATAAAATGGCAAAAACCTTAATTTTCAAGTAAAGATGACTTTTATAAAAAGAAAAAAAATGTAAATGCTAATAACGAGTAAAATCGTCATTAAGTCCGACCCTACTGGAGATGCACACGACTCCCCCCTCTCCACCCCCTCTACCTTTAACTAACAAAATTTAACCGTATCAATTTCCCTAATAAATAAACCTACCTGCAAAATTTCAGAAATTTTCGACAAAAAGTACAGGAATTATTAAGCTTTAAACATGGTGAACAAAATCGTATCTACTCCCACACACTAATATCCATGTTTACAGAAATTACCCTGAAAGTTTTTTTTTTTTTTTTTGTATTTCTCGGCGTTTTAAGGTGTCCTAAGTCCAAAAATGTAAAAACCTGGGGATCATATTTTGCAGGATAATTATACTTTCCCATAATAGCAAAGAAAGTAAATACAAAAAATTATTAGAAAGTAAACCTTTCTACAATTAATTCGCTTATATAGAAGGTTAAAGGTAATCTGTAAAGAAGATTAAAATTACACTTTGAAAGTTGGAAACGTTATAATATTTTTTCTCAAATTTCTAATTATTTTTTAAAAAGTTATAAAGTGAAGAATTAAAATATCGTTTACAATTAAAATCGAAACAAATTTATCCTGTGCAATGTACCAAATTTCTCGTTCGTATAAATTATTATTGCTCTAAAAACAGGATTATTGTTGATGCAGCTGTCATCGAATTAAACTACTTAATAAAATAAATAGCAAACCTGTTTAGGTCTGTTTAAGTGTAATAGCTTTTTATATAAAATAGTAATTATATTTATAATCATAGAACAATACTGATATATGAAATTTTGGGAATATATAATAAACACAATGATGACAATAATGAAGATAAAATAAAGTTCTTATATCTTCTTAATTTATATAATTTACAAGTATTTACGTTATTTTTACATTGCATATAAATTATTGTAAAAATTGAATATATTAATGCAAATTTTAATAAAAACTCTTTGAAATTTTGCTCTAGAAACACCATTTTTCTATTTAACTATTGGGTAATTGGTAAACATTGATAAATATTCAAGTCACAACTTAATTTAAATGCAGTTAATGTAAATAATTAGAGTAGAAAACAATTTAAAAAATGTATAATTTTTACATATAAATATTACAGAAAAGGAAATTAAAATTATATCTATTATAAAAAGTATAGGCACATGCAAATTAAATAATTTTCACGTGCAATAATTTAAGCTAAATAATTAAAATTACTTTTAAGCAAGTAACTGAAACAAAGGAATATTTTTTATTATTAGTGAGTACCTTAAACTTCTAGTAATATTAATAATAAAAAAAACAATGTAATAAGTGATTTAGTGCCGAAATTTTAAGTTTACATCCTTGTTTTTTTTTCTATTGGAATATTATAAAAATATTTTTAAATTAGTTACAATTGACTCACCTAAAATTTCGAATTAAATATTATTTTTAGCATGTTTATATTCCTATTATTGTTTTATCGCACTGGTAAGTTATTATTAATAATTCTTTATAACTCGACAAAACAATAATAAGATAGAATTCTTAATATTAAGAATTCTAACAAAGTATGTCATCCAGTTAGAAACTAAATACAATTTATTGGCCAATTTATGTTATCTTATATGCCAATTTCCAAGGTGTCATTTAACTAAATTATAAATTTAAATAAATAAATAGTCGATAAAAACTATTTAAAAAGGAAGAGATTAGATAATATCTGTATTAAAATTTTAAGGAAATCTAACTGTATTGTTTGTCTACTCTTTAAAAATATATAAATTTTGGTGTTTCACAAAGTTACATTCAAATTATTTTGTTTAATTTTGATTATTTTTAAACGGTTTTAAAATGATTACATTTCTTTTTTATTTGAACTGTTACAGTTTTACTTTTTAAGACAAACAAACAGTCAATGTCAAAAAATTTACTCTCTTAATTGAAATGTAATTATTATTTATATGGGTAATATCTTTTAACGTTAAAAATAATGTATAAATATATTTCAATATAGTCCTAGGTAATAAATTGTGCGCAGATATCGTACGCAATCACGTGGTTCCAGTTTCATTAGATTTTTGTTGGAACTTGTATTGCTGCAGGCTTCCATTCCATGAACAGTAGCTTCATTTGGTGTTTCTTAGTATTTCAATGTGCTAATTTTTCACAACTTATTTGCTTTTAAAAGTGTTAATAACAAAATACAGTAAAGGTAAATTATAATTAGATATAAAATTCGTTAAAAATATCTATAGATTTCTATTTAGCATTTAATTATGTTAATATAATTAACAAAAATATTTTATTTAAGACTTAATATGATGAAATGTTACAATTTTAAATATAATTTTTAAACAAAACTGTTAAAGCAATGACAAATATTTTGGTGAAAATGATTTTAAAAATCATTTCTTTTAAATAAATAACTTATAAAATTTATTATGTTATATTATTCAAAATGTTAGCTGTACTTATGTTTTTTTTTTATTATTAACAAATGCCTTTTTTATATATTCTACTGATAAGGAATAAACTTTACGTAACCTTTTTAAATATATTTCGATTCAAATATTTAAATATTTTATTTCTTATAATTTTAAATACTGTTAAACATAAATATTATTATTTTGCCGAATTTCTTCAGAATATATTTAACAGGTAATTTGGGATTAATATAGACAACAATTTCAAAAGAATTCTTATGCAGACTAATTATTTTTGCATAAGAATTCTCTTGAAAATGTATTTTTAACGCTAATAATATAGAATGGAAGGAATTGAAGACAATTGTTTTTCTATTCAGAAAAACAGATGAAGTGAAACTAAAACTAACGTGTTTATATATATTTTATACGTGCAAGTTTTACTAAAATCTTTTTAAATTATCTGCGTGCGTAAATCCTGAAGGGTTCAAGGAAAAGAATTTTTAACCTTGACTTGAAGTTTGGAAGCAACTTGACATAAACCACAAATTGGTTTTAACATTTTATCATAAAACAAAAATTAATTAAAATAGGAACATTTATTTTACTTTAATATTTTCCATATTTACAATATTTTATCGCTTATAAAACATTATATATTTTATTTAATTTATATAAGTTTATACATATTACCGCATTTATCAATTCATTTATATACATATCTGTTTGTTAAAAACAAAGTGTATTTTTATTAATAATTTAGATCATATTGATTTAATATTTTCATTTCATTTAAAATATTAATAATGAAAGATAATACTCGATTAATACATCGATTTTGTTAAATAGATCAATAAATGCATCTATTGTTTTTTTTCCGTACGGAAATCGTATGGAAAATACTAAAAATGATATTAAGCTCTTTTATTATTAGGTTCTTAGAAACATCTTTACTGTTATATAAAGCCATTGCAAATTCTAAGAATTTACGTTCAAAAGTCAGTAATCTTCGTGACTATTTGATTGCAAAACTAGTGACCGACTTTGAAGTTATTTTTTTTCCTTGTTTTTATTATAGCTGAATTGTCTATCGTTGAGAAGTAAACTGTAACCCTGGTTAAAAAATGTAATCTGTAGACATTTCTAAGAACTATTTCGTGATTTTCCCATTATATTTACAAATAAAATGGCAAAACAAGACAATAATAGTAAATTTATTTTTTATTTCCGAAAGAATTTTTAAAAAATTTACATTATTTCATCATAGACATAACTTTAAATTTGACAATTACGATTTTAATATTAAATGCTTTTTAATAGTAATTATAATATACAAATGTTTTTATATTTAGAAATAAAGTAGGCATGTCAATGAATAAAACTCCTATACGTTTGAGTAATGTCGTCACAGGACAAATATCAACAGATATTCTTTATCAACAGAGTAGTGAAGTATGTATTAACTATATTTTATAAATTTTATATTAATATTACAATCTATTTATTTTCTATAGAAAGTAGGTTGTAAAGAAAATGTTTGTAAAGGATCTTTTATGAGAACGGCTAGCACGTCAAAAGTTAGAACTAAAGAGGAAATAGCCGAACACGCTAAACAGTTTCTCGAGGTTTATTTTTCCAGTACCAAAAGGTATATAGGCATTTTATTTTTTTCAACTAGTTATTGTATAGTCTACTCAATGGCGGATTACCTAATAAGCGCCCTAGGAGCTCGCCTAAGGTCTCATCGTATCGAGCAGCCTCAAAAATTACATTGTAAAAGATAATATGCCTCTAAGTATTTAACGAACGTTTAAAAAGTATATATTTCGCACCCCGGCAAGAACAGTGACATAGTTCATAAGTTAAATGGTCTTTTTAACATTAAAAAATAAAAGGATTCACGTAAAGGACCTTATATAAAACGGCGCCTAGGGCTTTAAAAAAACCATAATCCGTTACTGTATATATTTGTATTATTTTAATATAATTAAATGCTGTAGGTGTAATAGTGAAGTTCATCAGAAAAGATTGAAAGAAGTGTTAGAAGAAATATCTCAAACTGGAACATATGAATTGAAAGAGACCGAGTTAATATATGGTGCTAAATTAGCTTGGAGAAATGCCCCGAGATGTATCGGAAGGATTCAATGGTCAAAATTACAAGTAAATTTACATTTATTCTTAATTGAAATATTTTGTATTAATGAATTTTATGAATCGATGAAATTCGTATAAAATTATTCAAGTATTTAATAAAGTTATTTTTAGTTATTTGATGCTCGTTATGCAATGTCTGCAGAAGATATGTTCGCAGCAGTTTGCAATCATCTTAAATATTCCACTAACAAGGGGAACATTAGGTATGTATTTTATTCATCATAACCAAACTCTGTATTCGTTTCATTAAAATAAAATATTTATCCTACTTTTTAATGATAAGATAAATATTTTAATTGGTAATTTATGAAAAAATTTTGACTAATTAATTTAAATTTAAAATAAATTTTAACTTTTACATGGTAACTATTACGGTTTATTAAACAAATTTCTGTTATATTTCCTAAGTTGTGTAAAGTTTATTTTACATAATATAGGTTCAAATCAAAGAATAAAAATTAAAAGTTTTTTTAATTAATAAAATAAATAGTTCATATTCACACATTCATTATTGAATACTTTTTATATAGATCAACAATCACAGTGTTTCCTCCAAGAAAAGAAGGAAAAGCAGATTTCCGCATATGGAATAATCAGATTTTGTCATACGCAGGTTATGTTCAATCGGATGGAAGTGTTATTGGTGATCCGGCTAACATCGAAATTACAAAGGTTTCTAATTTGTTAAATAATATAAAACTGTAAAATGCTCCTTCAACTACTAAGCGTTCGATGCAATTTACTTTCTCGTTTATTATTTTTTATTCTAGTTAAAATCTCGATGGATATTATTGAATCAAATTCAAAAATGTTTCAGTCAAATTAATTACATAATATTTGTTAATTACAAAAACATTTTCTCAAGTAGACAGTCACATGTTGACTCTTACCAGGGAAACACGGAAACGAATCCGGTCGGGTCAAAAATCCAGGAATTTTTCGAAGGTCCGTCCCTTATCACCCGGCATCTCCATTGTGCGTTTCGTCAAGTACAAAGTATAAAATAAATATTAAAAAAAAAGCCAATATTATTGCAAATCCAATTAACTTATAAAATGTTTACTTATTTGCATATAACTTAATAACAACTAAAATGACTTTTTATTAATTTTTATTTTATCGTATATAATTTTCATTTGTTTAAAAATCATTGTTAAAGAATAAGTAGGAATTTTGAGATAAAATTTTGGATTATCATCTAACCTAAATTTGTTTGCTTTGAAACGTGTAAATTTGCATGTAAATTAGTAACTTTTAATAATAAAAAAATTATTATCAATGTTGCTAACGGTTAAAATATTAGAATTTTAACGCATGCTAAGATACAAAGATTCTCCATTCTCCATTTCTATATGGTCCCAGAGATGAGAATCTTCCAAAGAATTGTGGCCATTTTTGGACTTAGAACTCTACTCATACACTTGAGTGCTACTCGTGCAGTTGTTTCTTACTGTACCTGCATACCCCTAATAAATGTCCGTAAGTTTTACATTGTGTCTTGCCAAAAATCGGATAACCAACGCTGTTTTTTCTTTGTGTTGGAGAAGTGCCGCCATTTCCTTGGTCTGTTGTTTTAGGTCCTTGCTCGTCAATAAGATTACCGGCGGCAGTTACTATTAATTTCCTTGTATCAAAATTACTATATCGCTTGCTTTCCCAAATTGACTCGCTTTGTACAACTCTTTTGTTATTAGACAAGAATTATAGTGTTTTTCATTAGTTCTTATTAAATTACGATTATTCTTCAAATTTCTTAATCAAATTAAAAATTTATTTTTTTAGATTTGTGAAGATTTGGGCTGGAAAGGAGAAGGTGGGAAATGGGATGTTCTGCCTCTTTTAGTTTCAGCTAATGGTGAAGATCCTGTTTATTTTAAAATACCCGAAGAATTAATATTAAGAGTGCCCATTACACATCCTAAGTAAGTCGATTAATCGGAAATATTTAAATTATTTATTAATGTGCATTCGTGTAATGCTTGGTTAAAAGATAGAGATCGAATTAAAAATCCAAGAACATGTTATTATATACAAGAAATCTATAGAAATCTTAAAATTATATATTTTCGTAATTTTTTAAATTTATTTCCGATTTATTTCCGAAAATACTTTCTTTCGAAATTATAGCAATTTTAAAATTAGCTGTAATCAAATTAATAGCAAACTATGATTTTGACATGTTTCTAAATGTTCTTTAATACGGTGAATCGTTACTGTAATTCAGAGATGGCGGAGGTTCATTTTATGTATGGCCGAACTAACGGCAATATACAATGTAGCACAACAACTGTACAGAGAACTTTTCTAACTACTGTAACTTAGGTCTGAAAATGTTTTCTTTCCATGTTTATATGAAATTTTTTCATTTTTATGATCCTTATAACACAGTGTTAAAAGTTGACGAGACCTTTCAAAACATCGTGTATTTACAGTATTCATCCGAGTCGATCTGTAATATTGAAAAGATGGGGTAATGAATAATATAAAAATTTCTCATTTTCGGGTTTTGAGTCGATATAAATAATAAGGTGTATTTAAGGGTTGTGTACAGTGCTTGTTTCTACTTTTAATTTTTTAGTAAGGTGTAAATTAAAAATATGTTGGAAGGAAAGACCATGTCCTAGTATAGAAATATTCAGGTGGATATGTCTTCTCTGTTCAATGTGGATCGTTGTCCATGACTTCTGCTTTTCTCTAGTATTTGTATAATATTGCATATTAATCTATTTTAAAAACAAATTTCATTTATTTTTCTTTAAATATTATTTTCTTATAAAAATAGATTTTAAAATTAATGAATTATAAGAAATAACTGAAGTATAAATGAAAAAATCTATCTAAAATAAATTGAAATTAATATATATATTCCAAATTATTTAATTCACAAAATGTAATCATTCTAAATACTTGTAATTATGAATTTTTTGTGAATAATATTACTATAGATATATAATATATACTATTTATAAATTTAGATAATTTGAAAGATGTATTTTTGCGGATAAATTTTAATTAAGAATTATACGGCTGTTTCCATTATATAATCTGTTATACAAATGCAGATTTATTACAATGGTTAAACATTTATACGGTTAAAATATTTAACAAAAATCAAATATGTTATTGTGATATCGTCACAGTGCCTGGATGTAACTTTTAATTATCTTTTAATTTAAAAATCAGGTGACTTCCGATTCACCGGAAGTTCATAATCTGGCCCGACCCCTACGCTTGCCATGTTTGGCAGAGGCACCAGCTGTCTATAAAACGGGAGACATAAGCAATAAAAAGGAGCAACATACATTATGCAAGAACCTTTAATTAAAACTAAATCGACGTCCAACAGCGCTCCCACAAGGGGCACTGGTTGCACTCGGGCTAATTTGGCTTTAAAAACAAGGAATGTGGCTTTGGTAACACATGATGAATAACTACATAAAAATTGTTGCATGGACCATTGGCGTCCGCAGAGAGGAACAAACGAGCCCGTTTGCTCCTCTCTGCGGATCGATGTCTTCTCCTAAGATCGAGTAAAATATTCCACAAATTATAATTGTAAAACTGATGGACGTGTAAGTTACACTCTCGACCATGGAACGCTTTATCTGTCTTTTTTATATTGATGCAATCCAGTATTTTATAATCTACTTGTGAAAAAATCTCTCAAAAATCTTTTATAATTAAATAAAAATTTATTGATGTAATTATTTGTCTGTAAGCTTTTCCTTCTACTGGGAAATTTTCTGCAATCGTCCATGCACGGGACAATAGCGAAATATCGTTCATTAGTATATTTTTATACGAGTATTTACAGAACAGGCTAGAATGTCATGCATTTTCTGTTTGTTGATGGTAGAATTTCAGGCTCTGTTCGGGGTTAGGAAAAGGGCAACCCTGACGAAAGGAAGCACGTGTTCCAAGTGCCTCAATGTACGGGCGCCCCTAATGTCTGGTCTCGATTTTCATCGAATTCCGTTCTTGAGATTAACGAAAGACGGACAGGCGACAGTGAGAATGTATAGGTTTGCAATCAAAAATTGAAGCAGAAGAAGATAACTCGTATAGTTTCATTTTTATCTTGTTTATCTCAATATTAGGGTCATTGATGAAAAAGAAGAGAAAAAACAGTAATAACCTGAATTAGAGACAGAAATTTAGTGAATACTGTGAATTTAGTGGCCATGATACAGTAAATGTTTCTCTCCTCTCTTGTGGTCTTNTATTCCTATTATTGTTTTATCGCACTGGTAAGTTATTATTAATAATTCTTTATAACTCGACAAAACAATAATAAGATAGAATTCTTAATATTAAGAATTCTAACAAAGTATGTCATCCAGTTAGAAACTAAATACAATTTATTGGCCAATTTATGTTATCTTATATGCCAATTTCCAAGGTGTCATTTAACTAAATTATAAATTTAAATAAATAAATAGTCGATAAAAACTATTTAAAAAGGAAGAGATTAGATAATATCTGTATTAAAATTTTAAGGAAATCTAACTGTATTGTTTGTCTACTCTTTAAAAATATATAAATTTTGGTGTTTCACAAAGTTACATTCAAATTATTTTGTTTAATTTTGATTATTTTTAAACGGTTTTAAAATGATTACATTTCTTTTTTATTTGAACTGTTACAGTTTTACTTTTTAAGACAAACAAACAGTCAATGTCAAAAAATTTACTCTCTTAATTGAAATGTAATTATTATTTATATGGGTAATATCTTTTAACGTTAAAAATAATGTATAAATATATTTCAATATAGTCCTAGGTAATAAATTGTGCGCAGATATCGTACGCAATCACGTGGTTCCAGTTTCATTAGATTTTTGTTGGAACTTGTATTGCTGCAGGCTTCCATTCCATGAACAGTAGCTTCATTTGGTGTTTCTTAGTATTTCAATGTGCTAATTTTTCACAACTTATTTGCTTTTAAAAGTGTTAATAACAAAATACAGTAAAGGTAAATTATAATTAGATATAAAATTCGTTAAAAATATCTATAGATTTCTATTTAGCATTTAATTATGTTAATATAATTAACAAAAATATTTTATTTAAGACTTAATATGATGAAATGTTACAATTTTAAATATAATTTTTAAACAAAACTGTTAAAGCAATGACAAATATTTTGGTGAAAATGATTTTAAAAATCATTTCTTTTAAATAAATAACTTATAAAATTTATTATGTTATATTATTCAAAATGTTAGCTGTACTTATGTTTTTTTTTTATTATTAACAAATGCCTTTTTTATATATTCTACTNAAAAAAACAAATTTGCTGATTAAATATGGACAACCGTTTAACTGAAGTAAAACGGGTTTTCCCCTTGCTATGGATGTCTGCCTAGTTCAGTTCATCCACATTCCGCTACAGTTCGCCTTTATTATCAGTTCGAAATGGGGTGGTTCCATAATACCCGCAGTGTTCCATAATACCACCTTCTCCTCTACATAAAATTTTAATTAAGGAACTTTACATGTAAAAAATTGTTTTAAGTAATATGTAAATGTCTACTGCTGTTAATTTTCATATACATTGATTTTTAGTTACGAAGGAATTAACGAACTTAATCTACAATGGTTTGCTGTCCCTATTGTTTCAAATATTTCTTTGGATGTTGGCGGAATAGAGTTTCCCGCCTGTCCATTTAATGGCTGGTTTATGGAGTCTGAAATTGCAAGAGATCTGGTCGATGAACATCGTTATAATATCCTTGAGGTAAAAATTAAAATGTCTGTTTTATTTAAGAACAAAATCTAAACATTAAATAATATATTATAGGACGTTGCGTTAAAAATGGGACTGAAGACCATTTCTCCGTCCACTTTATGGAAAGACCGTGCTTTTGTGGAATTGAATTTTGCAATTCTACATAGTTTTCAGGTGAGTTACAAAATTTATTTTCAAAATTTAAGAAATCAATTATAACTTAATAGAAATATTTAATAGAGCATATAAAGAGTCTATAGTATACTTATTAAACGATTAACACAGTTAATCGTTAGCACAGTAAATACAATATACAGTAATTCAAGTCTTCATAACGCGCACTCATAACGCGCACTTCGTACAAAAACAGTTCAACGGAAGGGACACACATGTGATGATTGTAAAGCATGCATATAACATCAAGCGTGTTTAAACGCATTTTGTGAGTGGAAAGAAAGTATTCATGTATGCATTTAATTAAATGGGGCTGATATATATCATATTCTGTGACTTATAAAAGCATAAGGTAAACTGTCTACACGTCTATAAATTATATTTTTTACTAATAAACTATCTGACCAAAAACTACAGTTTACAAAATTGTTTAAATTATACTTTCCAATAGTAAGGGATAATTTTTACGTTATGATTTAGATTTAAAAAATGTGTCGATTTTTAATCATAAAAGATCGATGGATTTGCCATTTAACATGACACGTAACGCATAAAGTATTGACTGCATGTCGCAACACAACATCGAGCATGCACTAAAACTTTTATTGTAAAAATGATACAATAATATAACTTAGTTATTTGCTGATTAGTATTGCTAATTTTTCTAAAATCCTTAACAATTTGTTTTGAATAAATTTGTACCATATTTAATCAATTCTGAAAAATACATTTATTATAAAAGAAATCTTAAATAAAAAGGATTATCAGCTTTCTCTAAACTTAAGTTTTCATATGTTCATAACCAGCGGAAAATAAACAATTTGATCGTCGTTACTGTTGAATTTTAATGAAGGTATTTTTATTTTAATTCTCTCTAAATTACTCTTAATTTCGTCTAAAGTTTTTATTATTTTTCAGAAAGCAAACGTAACTATAGTCGATCATCATTATGCCTCAGAGTCATTCATGAAACATTTAGCTAAAGAGCAGACTTTGAGAGGCGGTTGTCCCGCTGATTGGGTCTGGATAGTACCTCCTCTCAGTGGAAGTATTACACCTGTCTTCCATCAAGAAATGCTCAATTATAAGTTGAGACCAAGTTATGAATATCAAGTAAGTTGTTATTTATTCAATTGACAAAAATTAGTACAGACTGGAATTATTATTTTCGTTTCTTTCAAAAGGAACCAGCTTGGAAGTCTCACGTTTGGGAGAAAGACAGTTCTGGAGACAAATCTCAAATGCCACGCAAAAAAACTTTATTCAAAACTATTACTAGGTAAATCTTTTCTTCTGTATTTAAAATATTATCGAATATTTTTCTCACTGATAATTTCTTAGCGCCGTAAAATTTACTTCGGATTTGTACGGTAAAGCATTGTCTCGTCGTATAAAAGCCACGATTTTATATGCAACAGAAACGGGAAAATCTGAACAATATGCAAAGTCTTTAACCAATATTTTCATGCATGCTTTTAATGCAAAAGTAAGTAAATTTCAATTTAATTTTGGTAATTGCGACTTTTATATGCATTTATGCGTTAATCAGATGATGTGCATGTCGGATTATGACTTAACCGAGTTAGAACACGAGACTCTTCTTCTTATTATCGCTAGTACTTTCGGAAATGGAGACCCTCCCGAAAATGGAGAAGTAAGTTTAATCAATATTACAAACGTTAATAATTCAGAAATACTAAATAACTATTTTATAAAATTTATTTTGATTTTTAGGAATTTTTGAAATATCTTCAGTCTCTTCAAACAACTGATAATTTAGAGTAAGATTTAACTTAAATATAATTAAGTCATGTTGTTTATATTTATTTAAAAATTTTTCGTTTAAAATAATAGTGGAGATCTTGAGAATGGTAAATCATCAAATGTTACCGATTTTGAAGTTGGACTTTTAAGCAATATCAGGTAAATCAAATATATTTATTTATAAATTAAATTGAATTTATCGTATATTTATTTTTAATGTTTATTTCTTACATTTACTTGAATTATATAATACTTTTTAAAAGATTTGCTGTATTTGGTTTGGGATCGAGCGCATATCCGAAATTTTCTCAATTCGGGAAAACAGTGGACAATTTATTAGAAAAACTTGGTGGAGAGAGAATTTTAAAACTCACGACTGGTGACGAACTTTGTGGTCAAGAATATTATTTCAGAAATTGGGCGAAAGAAGTCTTTCAAGTTAGTAAAATAGCATTTTGAGAAAATCAAAAATGTCTTTTTTAGTTTTACAAAACAAGAACTTCGCATATTTTTATAATTATTTAATTAATAATAATATCTTTTTCCGTGATCTTAATNTTGTTTATCTCAATATTAGGGTCATTGATGAAAAAGAAGAGAAAAAACAGTAATAACCTGAATTAGAGAGAGAAATTTAGTGAATACTGTGAATTTAGTGGCCATGATACAGTAAATGTTTCTCTCCTCTCTTCTGGTCTTGTTCTATTCCTCTAAAATTCCTACTTTCCACTCTAGTGATTAAGCATGATTCTCACATTTCTTCCAATTTACCATATTTATTCAAATAAGCGCCGGGATGCTTATTTCTCCAGGACTTTTTGGACATGGGACTTTAACCATAAATCGATACCACATTTTTCTAGCTAAAAATAAAACATAATAATTGCATACATTATCAATTTTAATTATATTTTAAATTCGAAACCAAATATACATGTAATAACTAGAATCAAAAGTACACTGTAACAATATCATATTTCAGTTCATTGTATTCGTCGTCAGCATTTTCTTCAACATCAATATCTAACACATTTTATTTTTACTTTCCTGGTACTGTTATACACACTGTGTATAACAGAGCCAGTGAATTAGATAGTGAAAGTACGCCGATCGGTTAAAAAATGACCATCCCGGATTTTTACATTTTTGGTTTCGGGACCTTGAAACGTAGAGAAATGCAAAAAATTCAATGGTTTGTATCAATATGTAAGCAGGTGCGTGTCTGTATGTGTCTGCAAAATTTCTGAAATTTTGCAGGTTGGTTGGCGTATTTGAGATTAATGCGATTAAATTTCGGTGGTTAAAGGTCGCGGGATAGGAAGATAAAGGGGTTGTGTATATCTCCAGTAGGGTCGAATTTAATGACGACATAAAACCTACCCCTACCCTCAAAATTAAGCTTTTTGCTATTTCATAATATTTAAACTTTGTTTTTAATTTAAAATGGCAATAGATGGCGCATTCGAAATTTTAAATGTTGCCGGAAAAGTTAAGCAACTCATTGCTGGATTTTTTTTCCTTTCTTACATCGGCAGTAATTCAATTGAAATTTGCAAAATCTTTTGTCAATTTGTTCTGAAAGTAATTCTTTGTTCCATTTCTTCACTTTTGAAGCATACAATCATATCGTCTTGATTGTCATTTACTGCAGCACTAATATCTCATCGCTAAAGGAAAGCATTACTCTTTCACAGAAAACGCAAAACATTTTGCAAAAAAAAGCATTCGCATTTTTTGCTTGTCATGTATTAGAGGTTATCCTCTCGCACTCACTAGTTCAGTGGTTCTCAACCTTTCTGAGGCCGCAGAACATCATTCACATACTTTTTATTACACGGAGCATTAGCATCAATAGGCTCAAAACTTGATAAGCAATGCAATGTTTACTACTCTCAGAAAACAATGAAGCAATAAACTAATAAACTTTAATATATTGAACATAATAAAAAAAAACATGGTGTCTACGAATATATCAATAGGAAAAAATTTTGAAAAAAAATTTTTAAATATTTTCTTTCGTGGAACACTCGAGGTAGGTTTGCAGAAACACTGATTAAGAACCACTGCACTAGCTCTAATGCTGAGAATATACGTTGTAAAACCTCTACTCCAAAAAACTTTTGCAAATTCCACAAACTTTATGCTTTTTTCTGTTACAACAGGAATGACATCACTGGTAGGCTCACCTGCACTTTCATCGCCAAGGTTGACACTACTGCGACTCTTCACTACTTTTACCCTAGTTACACCCTCACTCAGCTACTTACAGGACACGACAAGTTTAACGACTTGCTGTCATTGTCTATCGTTATTACTTGTTCTTGCCGTTGTAGTTAATAGTTAGAGTTTAGCATTTGCCATTGTTTCTGTATATCATGTCTAGACATTTGTTTTAGATATTTTAATGAGTATACTCTTGAATTGAGTTTTTTGAATTCTTAATTTTTTGCCGGTATCGCTTTGTCAAATATCAATTATATCAAAGAAACAGAGCAAAAAAGAGCAAATATGATTCTCTGTATAATTTGTTTCGTTTTGAATTTACCTCCGAAATTATATTTTCGCATTTATTCATGTAAAGTACATACAATTAAGTTAGTTTAGGGACGAATGCCAATGTGTGGTGATGAAATAAAGCGCAGTCGAGTATTGTTAACAATGTACTCGACATTTTGAGCTTGGGTTACAGAAAAAAAAAACAAATAGATTTCATTATTCAGAATTTAATCTATAATGTTTTAATTTGCAGAATTTTACATTTTAAAATTAAATCGTTTCTGAAATCTCTAGTAAATTTTCAGTTTTTGTAATTAATAAATATATCTAAACTAAAGTTTCTTATCATTCTCCTATATTAAATATTTTATCTATCTTATTTGCTGTTCTTTAGCAAATATATATATAGTTTTTTTTATAAATGCAACGAAATGATTTATTTAAAACACGTATTATTTTTACTTATTTATTTAAATACTTAAAATTCATTGAAAAATTAAAAAAGGAAATTATTCATATACGGTACAGTAAGAGAATCCCAATAGAAATGACGATAACAATTTAAGTTTAACAGCGTAACCTTGAAAGGTATAGATAGAATCAATAATAATTATTCAGTTAGTTCATAGAAACTTGGTTATTTTTCTTGGAAATCTTGAACAGGATTTTTATAAATACAAATCCGATTCAAAATTAAGCATATTTTATTCCACGGATAAACAAGCGCATCTGTTTGTTTTTACTGGGGTAATGTTTGAATTTTTATTTGATACAAATTTTACCTAAAATAAAAATAGGTCAATTTTTGTTTACTGTGACGTATCAATATTCAACCTTCAACGCTTCTTAATAACATCATGACATGCGAGTAGTCGATTAAATTAAATACCATTTTAAACATGTTTATTACAGCTGTTTGCAAAGCTTCTTACCATAAGTGTAGCCAACACAGGAAAATAAATTGAATTACGCTGTGCTTACATTCATTCCTGGAGAAACTTTTCCAGAAGCTTAAGTTCCAGAAACGTTCCGGAACTTAAGCTTCCGGAAAACTTTCTCCAGAAACTCAAAATGCAAGCGTGCATCATAAGGGATATTTAGGATTTCTAAATAAACAAGGCCGTTTTTTATAACAAAATGTTGTCGTAACCTGTCTTACAATCTTCGTTAGGAAGTTGGAAGAAATCCAGCTCTTCTGCCTGCAGCAGCTTTGTTTCGGTTCATTATTTCGTATTTAGTGTCGTATCTCGAGAAATAATAATCACATTGTCAGTTTCGAGAATGTTGTTTGAAAGAAAGTGCTTTCTGAATAATAGATACAAAATTTAAAAAGTTTTAATATTAAATTTTAAAAACAAATTAATAAACTTTTATAATTTTAATTTTACAAAAGTGTCACGTGAAAAGAGAATATTTAAGAAAATCGACTAAAACCTGATAAAAGTTTACTTGAAAAATAAAAACATCGATTTTTTGTAGTCCCAAATCCATTGAAAAATTAAAAATTGAACAACCGTTGTTGGTTCACTATAAATCAATTTGGTTTATAATGAAACAATAGTCTTATTTTTCATTATAAACCAAAATTACGTCTTTCCTTGCACTTAATGTCAGTCGAATATAATGACTTAGACAAATATTCAAACAAGCTAAAAATATGTAGATAAATATATCTGGATTAAACACGCCCATAATAAATTGAATGTGATCAAAATTACATGTGCAGAACTTCACTTAATGACTAGTTTTTATAAGATATTAGAAGTCGTACTTACCGGTAAATATTTGACTCAATATACATGGGCGTAGCCAGGAAGGGGTATGGGTAGACACGCCCCCCCGTTAACCTGGTGCCCTCCCTAGAAAATTACAGCCGAAAAAGCGTTGAGCCGATTTGCAAAAAGAAATAAAAAGCTGAAGCTAATTTAATTGGGTGGTCCTCTACACCCAATTAAATTAGCTTCAGCTTTTAGCCACTTTTAGCCACTAAAACCACTTCAGCCTAAACTTCAGCCACCACTTTTAGCCACTTTTAGCCACTTCAGCCACCACTTTTAGCCACTTTTAGCCACTAAAACCACTTCCACTAAAGCCACTTCAGCTTTTAGCCACAGCTTTTAGCCACTAAAAGTCTAGATCAGGCATAGCCAACATACGGCCCGCGATTAACCTTTGAATTAATCTTTGACTTAACTTCAAATAATTGCTCGAATGGATCTGCGATAATTCATTATATCCTCACAATGTGAAGGTATAGGAAAGTTGAGAAATTCTGACCGCCCCCCGAAAAAAAAAGGTCAACGGCTTTCTGTGCCCAATGTGAAAAGTGTATCTGTAATCTCTATGTACAATTTAGTCTCTCTACGGGGTGACGCACAATAAGATCTGAAAATCTTGCTAGGGCCGCTTCTGGTTCGGGCAGTGAAAACAGTTTTCTTTCCAATTCGGCCCGGAGGAAAAAACTGTTGGCCACCCCTGGTCTATATCTAGATTAAAGACGGTGAACTATATTAAAGAATGGTAAAAAAAAATAATTGATTGGTTAATTTTTGTTTAAGGCATTGCTAGAGTTTGATATTAATGTTACGAGAACGTATGATTAAAGGAAGTTTTGTATTTATTATGTGTTAAGTTATA